CCCTTTTTTTTTTTTTTTTAACTAAGTTAGTGTTTTTCAGTCAATTTAATATATATTTTTTTTAAATAGTAAATATGTGATATAAAAATAAATTAATTAATATTCGATTATTCCACTTAAATAAAATAAAATGTAATTGTTGACTTAATTTTAAAAAAAAAAGACTTTATTATAATATGAAATTTTATTTAAATTTCTTAGAAGAAACTTTAAAGCATAGGAATGAGAATTTGAATTATCATAGCAATGCCACCTAAATCTTAGCTGTATCGTTTGTATTTAAAATAATAATAATAATAATATGATATATTTGAATATCTTATTTGCAAAAGAAATTTAATAAAAAAAAAAAAAAAGGCTTTTACCGCTTGGCTCTTTTAAATGCTTCTTTCCTTGCAATTATATTGGCTTTTGAAGTACTTAAACGGTCATCGGTCTAAGTTACTTCAAATTAATTTTGTCACGTCTTATATTTTTAAAATGTATCGGCTAGGGAGAGGTTTCCACACCCTTATAAATAATGCTTCATTTCTCTTTCTAAACAATGTGAGATCTCACAATCCACTCTCTTTGGGAGCCCAACATCCCTGCTAACACGTTGTCCGGTGACTAGCTATGACACTATTTGTAACAACTCAGTCCCACTATTAGTAGATATTGTTTGCATTGACCCGTTATGTATAGCTGTTATTCTCATGGTTTTAAAACTCGTTAATATGAACTACGACCAAGGAATTTCCATACCTTAAGGTCCAATTACAAGGACGAGAGCCAAGAAGCTACAACAAACCTTATACAGTTATATTCAAGCTATGATGAGCTTATCAAAGGAAATTATAGAAGACGTTGGAGACCTTTATATGTTGTGCAAAGTTAAGCTTCAAGAAAAAGATGAATTAAATGCACTTTAAGTTGCATTTAATGAACTCCGTTGAATTTATGAAACTAGTCCAAGAATGACTAGTAAACACATTCCATTCATTGCACTATTTAATTATACTTTCATTATTTGTTTGTCATATTCAGGCTAGTTTTAAATATGGGAGATAAGATTATATTGTAACCCACATCAGTTACCATATTCCACCGTTAACTAGTCATTTTAATATGGAGGTTATGGGTATTTCTCATTTACTAGTCCATTTAATCTGGGAGTTACGATATCACATAGGTTAAGGTTGTCAAGGCTATATAAAGCCTTTCTTTTTTTGTTTGATTAGACATCAGATTTTGGAATAAGAAATAGAATTTCTATTTTAGCTTTATTGAGAGTTAAATTCTTTTTTTTTTTTTTTTGTTGCAAATTTCTGTGTTTAGAACTTGAATCATTTAAGCTCCACAAGATCAATCTTGCTTGTGGAGTGATCTTGTGGAGCGATTCGAATCTCAAACAAGTGTTCTTACGTTGAGATATTTGATCAACAAGAATCATTCAAGTTAGACATGATCGATCTTGCTTGTGAAGTGATTCGAATCTCAAACAATGTTTTTGCCTTGAGATATTCGATCAACAAGTTAATCTCAATCTTACTTCCCTTGGAGTGATTTCCACATATGACTAATCTAATAGGAGGAGGTTTCCATATCTTTGTAAAAAATGTTTCGTTCCCCTCTCCGACCAATGTGAGATCTCACAATGATTTTCGTTCGTACAAAGTTGAGAAAGTTTGTAATAAACACATTATGTGTGTATATATATATATATAGTAATTCAACATTACAAAGAAACAAATTAGGCCAACTCCAATTTCATGTCAGATTATAAAATTCTTACACGTAGCTCAAAATTTGTGAGTATAATGTCTGAATTAACAACCTCGCTGCCCATGATGTCCTAAATTGAACATCTTTACCCAACAAACCACACACACACAGGCATATATGTATATATATATATATAAACATCAATCAAAACCACTCATTTACAAACCCTTCACCGTTGGCTTCTAACCCAAGGTTAAAATGCTGAGCTGCATTGATCGGAAACGGCTCTGTGAGAGTGATCCCGCCGTGATTCTGGTGGAGCCCCAGAGTTAAGGAAACGTTGCCGGCGCCCATCGTGGTGGCTCCGGCAGGCGGGTGAGGGTGGTGGGTCGGAAAGAAATTGGAGTTGGATAAGTGGAGTGGGTGTTGGTCATGGTTTGAAGAAGATGCGTTATTCAATGATTGGTTTGTGGATGAAAGATGGTCGTCGTTGTTGTTGTTGTTTAAGGGAGTTCCATTATTGGCGTCCCTGTGCTGAGATTTCTGAGCTTCCCTTGTTTCTAGCATGTGGATTTCTTCCACCATTGGCTTCCATAGCCTCACTCTTGCATTGATGAACCAGTTTGATACCTGAACAAAACTCCCACCACAATTTAATATAATCCGTCCAAACCCACGACTAGTAAATATTATCCTCTCTGAACATTTCCTCCCTTCAAGATTTTAAAACGAGTTTATTAGAAAGAGGTTTCCACAATGTTTCGTTCCTCTCTCCAATCAACGTGGGATCTTACAATCCACCCCCTCGGGGAGTTCAACGTCCTTGCTGGCACACCGCCCAGTGTCTAGCTCTGATAACATTTATAACAGCACAAACTTACCGCCAGTAGATATTATCTTCTTTGGACTTTTTTTCCGGGCTTCCCCTCAAGGTTTTAAAATGCATTCACTAAACAGAGGTTTCCACACCCTCATAAGAAATATTTCGTTCCCCTCTCTAACCCACGTAGGATCTCACAACCACCCCCTTAGGGAGTCCAATGTCCTCGCTGTCACACCGCCCGGTGTCTAGCTCTAATAACATTCGTAACAGCACAAACCCATCGCTAGTAAATATTGTCCTCTTTGGGCTTTTCTTCTGGGCTTCCCCTCAAGGTTTTAAAACGCGTCCACTAAATAGAGGTTTCAACACCCTTATAAGAAATGTTTCGTTCCCCTCTCTAATCAATGTTGGATCTCACAATCCACCTCTTAGAGGGCCAACGTCATTGTTGGCACACCGCCCGGTGTCTGACTTTGATACCATTTGTAATAATTCAAGCCCACCGCTAGCAGATATTGTTCTGTTTGTATTTTCTCTTTCAACTTTTCCTCAAGATTTTATCTCACAATCCACTCCCTTAGAGGGCCCAATGCCATCGCTGACACACAGCCCAATGTCTGGTTCTAATACCATTTGTAACAGCTCAAACCTATCGCAAGTAAATATTGTCCTAGGTGTATTTTTGAGATTATAAATGTAACAGCTCACCTGCAAGTAAATATTGTCCTAGTGTATTTTTGACATTATTTTATATTAATCAATATAGGGATGAAACACACCTGGCTTCGCGAGAGACCAGTCTGGTTAGCCAGCATGAGCTTGTCGGTATCCGTAGGATAACTGCAAGGTAAAAAACCAAAGGCTAAGTTGATAGGTTAACAATAAGCTCAATCATTTCATTCATATTCTTCCACACAATTCTTACGGATGGAGGAAATGTTCAAACAGCCAAGCTCGTAGGACGGTGACAGCACTCTCGGGGAGGCCTCTCTGCGGGCGCCAAACGGGTTGGTGATCCACGAATCCCCCACTGTTGTTGTGAATAGATCTTTGACAATACGGGTTATAAGGCGGCGGCGGCTGCTGATGCTGCTTGTTCAATTGGAGCTGGTCGGCAATGGCATTCTTTAAGAATCTGAAGTGCTTAAACATAGCTTTCACGGCTAAGTTCACGTAGGGAGCTGCATTGCCAAGCCCACCAACGTACTCGAATGTTGTCACCACTGCCTGCATCTGCTGATAGTATAGCTTATATCTTCTATAAACCTGTGCAATAGAGAATCAACAAAATTACAATCCATGCCTGATTTGATACCATTTCAAATCACTAAATTTTGAAACTTTTGCTTATTAAAGTATTGATATTGAAATTTTTAGTCTGATTTAGAAATCGGGTACTTCTCTCTTC